TAAAATCGAAAGCTTTATATATATAACTTAAGCGAAGAACTCGATGTATAAGCTAGCGTAGATCGATATTAAAGTAAAACAAGTTTTAAGCGATTCGAGCGGTAAAAATTAAAGAGTTCTTGCTTAATAAAAAAAGCAAAGCACTTTTTTCGCTTAAAGTTATATTTATACTTTTTCGAATAAGATTTAAATAAAAAAAAAAGTTAATATTAAAGTTCAGATAATAAATAACGTTATATAAACGAATTTAATTAAAGCTGCCGTCGTTCGTCTTAACGAATAAAGCAATTATACTTTTTTTTTAAAGTAAAAGTAAATAATCTTTTATTTTAAAAACGGTAATTGCTTCGCTTAAATCAAGTAAAAAGATATTTTCGAAAAACTTTTAATAATAAAACATATGCTTAATGCAATTATTATTAAAGATAAAAATGTTTTCGAATATATTTAAAGATTAAAAAGCGAAAGCGTTTAAAGTTTTTTAAGAGAATTAAAAAGAAAAGTCTTTAAAGAAAGCTTTAATAAAGAGTGCGGCATATTAAGGTAAAAAAGAAAAAAATAAAAAAACATTGCTACGGCGGTAAGCTATTATATTTTTAAAAAGTAAAAAAAAAAGTAAAAAAAAAATAAAAAGATAAAGATTATAAAAAGAATAAAGATTATTTAATATTTAAAAATAAAAGTAATACCCGATAGCAAAGTCTAGAGCTTTCAAAGACGCTGCTTTAATTAAAAATTACGAAAAAAGTTAAGTCGAAAAAAAAAATAATGCTTTTAAATTAATTTTAATTAAAATAATTTATTTCGAGTAAACTTTAATTGCTAATTTATATTAAAATCTCGAACGTCGAAAGCGAATTAAAAAGTCTTATTAGCGCAGCTACGAATCGATAGTATAAAAAAAGCAGCGGAAAAAGTTTTTTCGAAAGAATCGATATTTTTAACCGTTTTTAATTTAGCTTGCTTAGCAGCTTTATTTTTACGCTTTTTTTCGATTCGTTTATCGAAAGCAGCTTTTAAATAAAAATAAGCTATTACGCATTTCGGCTTAAAGTAATAAGGTTTTTTATAATAATTATAGATTATAATAAACTTATCTTTTTTTACAAGTTTGCCGAGTTTTTCGTATATAAAAAATGCTTTGCTCGAAAAGTGCTATATTAATTTTTTTTTTTTACGAGTAGCGATTATAAAGTCGGCGAAAATAGTTTTAGATTTATCGTCGTCGATATAATTGTTATTCGAAACTTAATTAAATTTAAAGTTTTCGTACGAAAACGATAGCTAATTAAAATAAACTTTAATTATTTATAAAGCGAAAAGTTAAGTATTATTATCGAAAAGCTTAAGTTATTCGTTTAAGCGCATAAATTCGTTATTAAAAGAAGTGATATCGTCGAACTCGTTAATACGAAAAGCGAGCAACGCGGATTAAAAACGATAAAACGTCGCGACGCTTTTAAATCGAAATCGTTTTTTTAAATTTATTAATAATAGCTTTTTAAGATCGTGCTTTTTAAAATCTCCGACGATTATAAAGCTTATTCTTTTTTTTTAACGAAATTTACAGCGGTTAGCTCGAATCTGCTGCGAATAAAAAAGCAGCTTTAAGTTTAAAGTTCGTTTTACGCGTCGAGTCTTTTTTTAAACGCAAACTCCGTTTCGCTTAAAAAGCGAATTGGTCGGACTTTTATATTTTTTAAAATTTTTTTATAAAAGTAGTTTTTATTAACAAAAGCGAAATCGATACATCGAAAGAACTCGACTTAGTTTTCTTTATCGAAAAACGAAACGGCGAAGAGAGCGAAAGAAAAAGTAAATTAAGTGTTCGCAATTATTCTTAGAAATCGAGGTCTTAATAAGCTTAATAAAATCTTTAACGTTAATTAATAATGCCGAAGTAATATTTATCAAAATATTCTTATAAATAACGAAAAAGTTTTTTAATTCGAAAATCGAAAAATAAAGTAAATAAAAAAGGATAAAAAGGCTTTTCGTTCGAAGCCGATAAAAAAAAAGTATTTAAGTTTAATTTAATATTAAAAAATTGAAAATCAAAATTAAAGTCACGATTTTTAGCAAAGTCGAAAGATTAAAAAAAAGTATTAATAAGTATTTATATA